TTCCTATCGTCTAAGCTGTTATAACTTCCAAAACATTCATAGTTTACAAGTCGAGTTCAAACAACGAAAAAAAAGAAACAGAAAGAAACTCTTCTAGGAAACAAAGCACTAATCATTTTACGCGACATCAACAGGTGAAAACTTCATAAACCTCATGTACAACCTCAACGAATGAAAAAAAGAAGCAATAAAAACGTACCTCAAGTGAAGCTCTCGCGCTTTTTGCTCATTTCTATCCTAAATAAGAAAGAAAATAGAAAACAAAAGCGATTGAGCTGGGCTCACCTTCCCTTGTGTCAAACCATGCTTCATTACCTAAGGAAACTGCAGTTAAAGGAAAAAAAAGCATAAAATTGAGCCGCTCACCCCCAGAAGCCTTCGGAGCGCAAGTAATAGCGTTGGGGCGCGGGCTGCCATGCACCGACGATCGCGGCGATCGCCGCTGCTGTCGCGAACTATGAACGCTGCCTAAGGACGCTGCAGTTGGATTTGCATATCGGCGCGACATAAGCACTAACAGGGTAGATAAATATGATTATTAAATTGTAGTCTTCATTATTTTTCAGGAAGAAGTTGCCTCTCCTTGGCAGAAAGTAGTCAAGAAAGCAAGCGCAGCAGCGGAAGCTAAAGAAAAGGCACTCAGAGAGGCTCGATTAACTGCTGGTCCCGCTGGTAGTCTGGAACTCATAAAATCATGGGAAAAGAAAAGAGCTGGGGACACGGATTCAAGATCTGATAAATCATCTCCCGAGCTCAGTGAATCGCTTTTAACAGAAAGACATATAAAAAGTGTAGACAGTCTTGACAAATCTGACGACGAACGTATCTGGACCACTCAGAAGAAGCCAGCCAGATCAGTCGAGGTTTTTTTCGAGTACTTTTGCCTCATTCCCTAGATGAGCTCCATAGGTATTTGGTGACACTTTATCACTCCTTCAGTGACAGCTGTTCAGAAATTAAAGAAGCGAAGCTATGGAGAAACGCGGAGAGATGAAGTGCCCAAAAAAAGTTCAGGTCTCTTATCAAGGATGAAAAGTAAATTAAGATCCAAAAAGGTAGTCATTTAGTTAGCTGGTTGGGCTGATAGAAAATGACTGATAGAGCAAGACGCATGAACTTCGCAACAAGGAAGTTCCTGCTTGTAGTGTCATAGTATTCCTTCTAGTGCGTGGAAGATGACACATGCACGCTTGGTCACTGTAGAACTGCAGAGCCTGCGAAAAACCAAGGACTCGGTTCAATATGTTACTGTACCCTGACGACCTAAGGATGTCTGCTCGTTTCCCTCACTCTACCTGACCGGACTGTATGGCTGGACAGCTCTCTGCCACCTCTCTATCGCGTTTAACCCAGACAGTCACAAATTGTTGTTGTTACCTTACACAGACAGGAGAAATTTCAATGCAAAAGTGGATTTGCTATGAGATCGTAGTTCTTCTCGCGCCAACTCCTACTCCACAAGGTATAGAGCCTCACTAGCTGCTGATGCTGGGGTATATCAGTGGGTCAGATTCGCAGCGCCAATATCAGTTCTCCATCAATTGTGTAAGCGGGACAAACTAGCGCGGCGCAATCCCAGCCCTCTGACAGGCTCCTGCACCGCCAATAATAAGGTTGATGCGCGTGAGGTTGGAAGTAAGCTAAATGCATTCGGAACAGAACCTGCTGCATATGATACGGCGTGCTTTAGGCTATGGAATTAGAGTAAGCACTCTAGCAGGCAGCTGATAGAATATGGGGAAGAACGAGGGTAGCAGACTGCCAGTGGAGAGTATGGGGCGATAGGAAGGTAGCACATAGCTGGTATCCTCTATCGCCCTATACCCTCTACCAGCAATCTGCTGGTGGTCGCTGGTGGACGCTGGTAGACGCTTGCTGACTCTGGATAAGACACCTATACTTCCCTACCCGAGGTGCTGCTGGTTTATGACGAACGCTGGCAGACGCTGGTAGACGCTGGCAGACGCTAGACCAATACTTTCTTAGCCGCTGACGCTGCTGGACGCTATTGGTCGCTGGACGCTGCCGTGAGGCTAATAAGAATCTTTTTTTTACATGGCGTCGCAGTCGTCAGCTCGCGTCCCCTCGTTTCCGCTGTGAAACATATGAATGAGTGAGGTCTTCGATCTGAGTTCATCACCAAAATTTATTCTTTCCCAACACAATATCGGTTCTGATTTTAGTCAGTGGATGAAAAGAACCCTAAACGAAGCCCGACTGAAAGGCTCAGGAAAAGTGATGAAGAAGCACAACGAAGTAGTGATTCGGAAGAAAAATCTAGAGAAAGCGGTTTCGGTGAAAAAACAACGGCCTTCAGAGAGACTATGAAGAAGGCAAAAGAAAAAGAAAACAACTAAGAACCATCGTGGGTAATCTCAAGACGGTTAGGGACACTGTACAGAAATTGAAGTCAACAGAAAAAAAGCCGAAAAGTGGCTCGAAGGGCAAAGAAAAAAGTATCGATTCAGCGGAGAATTCAAGGGAAGGCGGCTCTTCTGAAACGATAAAAAGAAGTAGCGGTTCTCAGGAGAAAACAAAATTCATAAGTCCTGGAAATGCTGTAACTAGGATTGACAATTTGAAAACATCAAAAGAGTATGAAAAACCGAGGCGCGCAAAAACACCGGACAGGGTGACGATGAGGCCAAACCTGCGCTAGAAAGAGGTAAATTTTCGTTTTAGCTCAAAACAACAAATATTGAGAGGCACACTCCGCGATAAGTCAAACCAGAAAATCAGTTACCTTAGATATCACCGGATATGCTGATGTAGCAGCCCACACTGCGCGTAATCCAGCCGAAAAGGAACTAAGCAAAGTGGAAAATGTTACACAGCGGAATTCGTGCGGAGTGTTGCCTTTACCTGCCTAGTATAGAATAGTTCGCGGCGAAAGTCCAAATTTTCAAGCGAATATCCTATTTTTACAGAATGAGCGAAATTGGATTGCTGTTCTGATATCTCAAGTAACATTCTTCAAAGCACCACTTAATGATTTCACAAAGAGAATGAGTTTCGATAATAAACATTTGTCTTAATTACGTGTGTAAAGGATGTTATTCAAACTATGAACATAAACTTGTTGCGAACCACAACCCTCTGCAGCGCTCCAAAAAAAGGTGCTCAAGAGTGCAGAGTTATGGGCAAAAGTGTCGACGCCTGGCGGAACTCAAAGCCGCACGTGATGATTTCTGCCCACATTATGTATTCTCGTGAAATCTTTGGATGAATGAACTGTGGCGTTGGCTAGCAGTTATCATGAGAAACAGCATAGAACAGTTCTAATCGAAGGATCTTTTGACTATCATGCATTCGTGGGAACGAATTGCTTGTAGGACCGGTCTTGGTGACAGTCCCGAGCACTAGGTTCAGTCACATCGGGAAGCATGCAAGCGGGATCCTTTTATCTATCTATTCAACAATTTTTGGAAGCGTGAGCTAAGAAAAGCTTACCGATACACGAGGACGAGTCTTCCGTCATCCTTTCATTGTTGCTTCAAATGATTCTGTACCCGCGGTAACGAAGACGGAACAGTGGTGAGTTCCTCTACGCTCATGACCCCTTTGGAGCAATAGAGCTACATCACTAAAGCGCTAAGAGACTCATAGGTTTGTCCAAAATCTAATATCGGCAAAACGTATTACTTTTCTCCACTGGCGCAGGCGAAACTCCAACTTTTAAAAGGTGAATACGGCAGAAATCAGCTACTGGGTGCTCAGCCATTATGGCTCAGTGGGAGTCCAGATAGAAGGATGCATAGATACCGCACGGCTTCTGTATCAGCGCAGAGTCGGTGTCAGGGAGCGTTGAGCTAGTCATTCCACGGATACGCAGCCTTCGGACCGCTTGCAACGTTCACCTATGAACGCTCCGTCGTTCAGATAGAACTAGACTGTACTGCTTTCGCAACCCAAAAACATGTGAGGAAAGCGTGACCCACTAGGACACCGTTCCGTCTGTTGGCCACGGCAATGCCCAATGTTCATTTTTCATTACTACCTGATGGTGCGATTGTTCTGCTACTAACTCTTTTCCTAACTAACTCCATTTCGAATGATGGGAGTGAGGTGATAAGGTTCCTCGCGTTAAGTATGTAGGACCGCGGTTAGGCATGGGTTTCAACACGGGGCAATTCAGCATTTGTACTTCTTCCCTTTCTTCTTCACTTTTGTGGTACTTACCACCTTGTCATTAGCAACGAAACCGCAGAACTCACCATTTTTAGACGACTGGCGTGTCTTCGAAGGTGTTTACTTAGGCAATACTTACAAGCAAAGCCTACGATCATTCGCCATCACATATAGTGGATTAGGGGTTTGCATATAGATGACAAGGTTATCGGCAACTCGATAGTGAGAGGAAAGCAAAAGAGAAACATGCCAGCTGCCTAGATAGAACCCCGTTTCAATCCAGTTTGTCCGTGCCCACTTAACTCCATCTCCAACACTACGCCCTCATCAGCACAGCTACTCCCCGGGCTTGAAGACGGAGTCTGGAGGCGGGTGGAGAAAAGGAGGCGTCGCCCCGCAGCCTATAATGCGCTACAGTGCCCTTCTTTGCAATTTTGGCCGCGAAACCGCTATAGGGTTATACGTCGTGGACCACATTAGCCCTCCCACTGACGCCATATTTTCAACCTCTATTCGTGGTCGCGGACCGTACCTTTAACTCGTGAATATTGAACTGGATTCCGTTGATCTCTTTCTGGCTTTCAGAATGTTTGTATCAGAACGTTTATTAGGCGAAATGCACAAGTAACTTGTGTACCGATACTGAGAAGTGAACGACTGCAAATCAAAGGCAGGAATTTCATACATACAGCATGCAGATCAAAACCTTGCGAGAAACGATTACATCGACCAAACGGGAAAACGAGTATCGATTGCTGTGATTTTATGAAACATTCTGATCTCACTGCAAATACAAAATAAATTCAGAAAACGACGATTCTTTCCATAGACACACTCTAACCGTTGCCATCCCATTGACGGATACAAAGAAATTACTTTTTTTTGGATTTTGTCTTCTGAAAAATAGTGTTCAACATTTCTTCCAATTTAGCGAACTGATGCATCAAGCTCAGAAGCCACAGCGTCGCCATGCGGTGTCAGCTGGTGGAGAACGGGGAAGGGGTAGTAGACTGCTGGTAGAGTATGGGGCAATAGCAGGGTACCAGCTGTCTGCTACCCTCCTATCGCCCCATACTCTCAATTCTTGGACGCTGCTGATCGCTGGTGGACGCTGGCAGACGCTGCTGCTTGCAAGAACAATATCTATACTTTTCTAGTCGCTTACGGTGGTGGTCTCTGAACGCAGCCTCACGCATCAATCTCTTAGATAACACGTCATCTAACTAGTAAGAAGTAGTGAACTTGTGCTTAACCAGGAGTCAACTTCTCATGAGCGGTGGCAGATTGGCGGTGCAAATAGTGATTGATATCTGAGAGGTCCTCCGAAAGGCCCTTGCAGTGCCTTGTTGCCAACAGACGAATAGCTGCTCTCCCAGGATAAGGAAGCTCTGGCTTATCCACAGCCCTGATTTCTGCTTCTCATTCATGTTGTCACGATCACCCTCAAACCTATCATGTACGGTATAGCCTTAGCGGTCATGAGGCCCCAATTCAGAGGGTAGGGTTCAGATCATGTTCGCGAGTTCCACAGTTTGACATTGCTGTCATGACCTCTAGAGTGATGACCATTCACTTACCCTTTCGTTTGACTTCTTCGTACCTTTCTTCGGAATCTGTTTTGGCGGTACCACGCCTTTCATGACTGACTTCGTCTTAGGCTCAGGTGTCTTCGTCGTTTCAGCACTTGCGGATTTCTTGGGAGGTGGCGCTTGTGCTTTTTCATCAGATGATTTTTTCTCCGGCACTTTCTCAGCAGACAATTTTTTCTCAGGTCCTGTTCCTTGTGTTCGCTCTGCGGAGCCTTTCCTTAATGGCTTCTGACCAGGTTCTCCCGCTTCTTTTTTAGCGGGGACATCCTTTTCTTTCGGGGGTGGTTCGACCTTTTCCTTCGAGCCTGGCTTTTTCTTTTCTTTCGGTTCCTCTTTTTTCGGAGGAGCTTCTTCTTTCTTAGGAGGAGCTTCCTCTTTCTTAGGTGCGGCTTCTTCCTTCTTAGGAGGAGGTTCCTCCTTCTTGGGTGCAGCTTCTTCTTTCTTGGGTGCAGCTTCTTCTTTCTTGGGTGCAGCTTCTTCTTTCTTGGGAGGAGCTTCCTCCTTCTTTTCGGGAGGTACTTCCGCTTTTGCGGGTTCCTCCTTTTTTTCGGGTGCTGCCTTCGCTTTTTCTTCGTGCTTTTCTTTTATTGACATTGCCGTTTGAACGTCTTTTGTTGGAGTATCGGCTTTTATCACCTCTCCTGCTTCTGGTGTGCTTGGTGCAGCAGATCCTGCAGGAGCCGTACCGGAATCCGGCGCCGGAGCACCTGGTGGTGGTCCTTCAGAAGGCGATTCCTGCGCAGGTGGAGATTCACCCGGCGCTGCTGGAGAAGGAGCATACTGTTCCTTTTTCTGGAACACTGCGTTACAGTATGTAAGTGGGCTACGTTTGCACAAATTGGTCTGCACTTACTTCCGTTGGTGATGTAGTCGACGACGATGACTCAGATGCCTGCTTCGGAGTCTGAAACAGGATGATTTTCGTGGTTAGAATGTAGTTGGGGAAGGAGTGCAACTACCTGAGCATCAGGCTCTTCAGGACGTGATCCGCCTCCTCCCATGTGTTAGAACAGCAAGCAGTAACTGAGCTTATGAATGACCAATGCATCCTTATATACGAAGGTGTTCGTATACGTACAACGTATAGCATTATCAGAGCCCGCAGGTCATTCACCTTTCATTCCCGTAGAGCTTTGAAGTCATGAGACACCATTATTAGAGTCCACGTACAAATGTGCGGTCGCTTTGCAGTCTCTACAGTCTTTTTACCTTTGACCTATAATATCCCCATGCCGACGATTTGATTGACAGTCAGCTTGTACTCTGAGCCAAATACAAACGTTTCGTGACGTAAGCTGGCAAGTATATCTGGTAGATAGAATCACCTACATCACCTGCCTCCTGTTGAGGGAGTAGCTTGAGCGGTATCAGGAAAGTCTCCGTTATTACAGCGCGCTTGAGTTGTCCCTGAGGGCTAACTACGAGAGACTTCATTCATTAGTTCGGATCCCCCAGAGAGAAGTTTCGCTATGGGTTTGGCAGTCGACCTGTTGGTTCCACATCCCGTCTCGAGAAACAGTGATTAAAGGTAGGAAATTTCTTCGGTATCGGGCTGAAAAACAAAGACTTATGTGCAACTGCTGCGAAGAAAAAACTTTCCGAACGCCTCGATTGCGACCCTCTTTGTCCTATATGGGGAGCGATGTTGGAAATTCGAGAGACCAGGCAACCTCTGCGAGAGTGAATGCAAACGAGCAAGGGGATAGGCCTGACAGTTCGCAGCGCAGGCGGAGCCTCTTGAGCGGCATTGCTCCATGATGCCCCTTCTTTACACAGGACTTGTACAAAGTTGACCATAACGGGACCACTGCTTGCTTCTCACAAAGCTTCAATTCCTGCAAGTAGTAAATGGGTGTGCTTTATTCGCTCCGTTCTAAGATCATTTTGAATCGCATTAATGTCTGGCCTCAACTTATCTCCGAGACTCGGTTTAACAGAGTCGCACGCTACAGTCTCTCATCATTGCAGACGGGGCGGTGTAGGCGTTGTTTCAGCCAGAAGGACGCGCACATGTGTGTGTAGCATTCGCTATGTCTTTTGTTTGGGTTTGCTAAGCGTATGCGACAAAAAAGGTTGTGGTAGAAAACGAGAATATGGCAATGTTATTGGATTAGAATATACATGAATACGAACTTGTTCCCGCTTCAAAAAACTTGTTGTGCATGAACGATTTGCAAATCGCACCATAACCAGCGCGCACTGGCCACACTCCCACCGGTCTTGTCGCAATGATGAGACTGTTACGTTTCCGACCTTTGGTCGTGCGGACTTCCAAAACTTCTCTCATCTCTATCACTGCCAGCGAGGATTCGCTGCGTCTCTTTCATAGTTCTTTTCTGCTCATCGTTTTTTCAGAACATTCGTAGCCTACCGAGCTAGCAGTTACAAACCCTGTAGAATGATTAAGCGTCAATCAAGGTCATAATAGGCTACGTACCACGTACCATTTTTCTACAGCGTATGGTTGCCTGAGCAATTCGGCTGCCCTAACCAATACCCCACGATGTTTCCTTCAACACTGATGTTTATAGTTCGTCGAATCTGAAGCCCTGTAACGCACGCGAATCAGGCTATCCTGACAAGTTGACTCCACCCGCTAGATCGATTAAGTCATGGCTGCTACGTCTAACGGCGCCACTTTTCACAACTGTTTTTGCCTACGCACAAGCTACCGTACTACGCTTAGTTTCACTAAATAGTAGGACGAAAAATGGAATACGAACGCGGCAACTATCCAGAAAGCCAGCATACTCAAGAGAACGCTTGGGATTCCAGCAATTGGATAGACTAAAAGCAGTCGACCGAACACCTGATGACTCCTCGCAATCCAGCTTTTTACCGTGATAGTTGCCTATCTAAATGTTGCATCAGTATTTACCAATTTGGCTGACGCGCACTATGGTTCATTCTGTGGTCCTGATCACTGCAGGATTTCTGTGCTGACCATTTAGCCTAGTTCCCGTGTTCCAAAAATCGGCCCAAATCATCATGTTTTTCTTCTTTGATGAGCATTTGAAAATGTACCAATGTGTGTTTATCACATTTCTTAAAACAGATCATTCGTTGGGAATAGAGCAGCTTATGGTTAGCGGCTGAAAGAGTTTCGATAGTAACAATATCGAAATCACAGTGAAATGTGCTTAATCCTAGTACTTCCGTTGAGTAGCTTTCATATATCCGTCTGTTGGCGGTTCTTATCATTCCCCACTGGCAAACACTTTAGACTTTAACTTTTTGTCGAATCTTGGTAGTTTAGCGGTCGAACCAATACAACACTAAAAGGATAGAAGCATTTCGGCTCACTGAGCCCTTGCCATATGATTCCATGGGCCACGGTGGTTTTCAACATCAGGTCGCAAGCGGAGTAAAAGCTGCGAACAGATCACGACCCTTGTCGACGACCATATCACAACTTAACCGCCCACCATCGGATGTTCCCTAACCACACTGAATTGGCTTACTTTGAAAGAAGTTTCCCGAGTGTTGCTAACTCGTGCATTGGTAATTTGTGGCTTTCCTATCTTGCTTCTTGGATCCGACCGTTCCCGTTGGTTTGCTGTGGCCGGCGTTCATGAATTAGGTAATACCCAACCCCTTCTAAGCTCCTTTATTGGTATCTTCTCAGCTGTTATTCCACGTGTCACTGCCCACCACCGATAATGTTCCCATTCTTCCCCCTGATCTTTACCTACTTAGGAACCAACGTCCCATAGTTGCTGTGGGCCCGCGCTTATTGAATTCGGTCGCCTCTTCCCCTCCAAACCCACCCCCCCCTCCGTGTATTTATCAAGCTTCTTATCACTTTCTGCCCCCACCAATAGATTCACTGCAGCACCCTCCTTAACATCACTTGTTTTGAGTGCCACTATCGCTGTTTGGAGGAAGTTTAGAATATCAAACACACATACAGACAAATCAAATAACACACATGCACACAACATACACAGCACACACACCAAAGGGACAAACTTAGAGGGAATATAAATAGGGATGGCATTGACTGGCATCAAGAAGGGGCCTTCAAGCGCCAGCAGCGCAGTTCTGCACTCCCGTTCAAGGGGTCACTCTGGAAATAAAATAGCTGAAAATCCTTTGAAAGAACTTTGGCATACTTATAAAAGCTGTATCTCAGAGGGTATTCCAGTTTCTCCTGAAAGGTTGCAATTTGAAGTTGCTCGCAACAGCGAACGTTTGATCGAATTGGGAGAGAAATTTAAGAAGCATTGATTGTGAAGAAGTTGTTCTGCGACGAGGGGGGGGGGGGCATCTTTGAGCATTCGCTGCTTGTCGGGCTATTCACCAAGACGAAGTACAATCCAAGGTGTCCGAGGCCATCAAGAGAAACCTATAAGAATCTAGGGAATCAAACAAAATATACTAGGGGCTGAATTTTTGGAAGAGGACTTGTCAAATCTTCTGAAGAAAACCTGGTTCAACACTTTCGCAAGGCAATGAAAAACCCAAGATACCAATTTACCATATTTCTATGGTTGGCTTGACGAGTTTTCCCCAGCTTCCACATTTGAAACCGGAACTACGGGTGAAGCAGCAAAAATGCAAAATACCCCCTCTTCGGGTCCTCAAATTGCTGGCGTCTATACGGCATGTGTATAAAAACCCTACTGTTGAGGCAGGACAACAATACGCCTAGCCCACGAACAGCAATTCTGTTCTTATTGCAGTAGAACAAAAATGGGAAAAGTAAGTATGAGATCTCCCCAGCCTTTTAAACAATTGCTCTTTATTTTTCACAGCAGTTTAAATGAGTTGAAATTGCAACATTTCTGCGGAATATATTCTTTAAATACACTTTAACGTCTGGCAGGTTGGATCACGAGGTAATCTGACCTGGAACCAACCTGCAGGTGGAGGGTGAGGCACTTCCAACTCTTGAAAAAATTTAACTCGGGAGAAATAATATAACAGGACAATGGAATTTCGGATTTACAGTAATTATCTGATCTTGTTTTTGGGATTTGGTTATGTTTTTTCCTATATATTGAATTTTTGATGGTCTTTCTGGAGAAAAATCATTCTTCGCAAACTCCCATCAAATTGATTTCTGATTCCATGAGAAAACAAGAAGTTCTTTCAGTTTTTTGAACAAGCCCTTGCTCCTTTTTTTCCACGTCTATTAGGCGTCCCCTGCACTCGACCCTACCTTGAGGGATCCGTGTAAGCAGTTCGACAGTAGAGGAAGCTGAAGTAGCCTGCGCCCAAGAAATTAGGACTTTCATTAGCATGGTATCGAAGAAGTGCATCAGCTGTTGGCATGAGAAAATCCATAGTTGGAAAGAGGGAAGCCACTGCGAACGACGAACAGGCCGGAATATGAAGCGCCAAATAAATGTTCCTCAAAAAATCTCGCTCGCAAAAGTGAGGCAGGACGTAAAGCAACTCTCTACAACCCTGTCCTCTACGAATGGTTGTAATCGGGTCTTCTCCATCTCTGTGCTCCTGTGGGAAGCACTCTGGGTAATATGTAGTCCACGATCACGAAACCTTTAGTCTGGAAAGTCCATTCAAGAATTCCAAGTCCACAAACATGGTGAACCATTAATCAAATGACCACTTGCTTCATCCGATCGAGAAGTCACAAAAAATCAAAGAAAAAACGTGAAAGGAGTAGCTCAGGGGACTACAAGCGTTAGACCATTCCTCTGCTCTTTGTAGGGCGACAACCTAAACTTACCGCCATGTGGTGCTAAAGATAGTTTGCACGATAATTTGGTTCTTCATCTAAAATGGTAGCACGGGTGCAAGGTAGTGGGGAAAATGGCGCAAAAGCGAAGTGCAACGGTCAAAAATTGCAAGAAAAAACTTCTGACCGTCACGACTCAGGAAGCACTTTTGAACGAGTTTCCCGTTGGCATCGTGCCATAACCGTGTACATGTTCACTTATTTATTTATTCACTGCACGCAGAGGTGCGCTTTTACAACACTCGGGCTGGACACAGTCAAATACAAACTACAGTATAACTCAACGCTAAAATGAGAGAACAAACAGCCCGTAAAATATGTAGAAAGTTCTTTAGTCAAAGTTTCATAGGAGGAACAAAAATTGATGAAAGTCAGCCCTTACCAGGCGTCCTCTTAGCTGGGTAATCCCCAGTATCTCTCTGAAGTAACTTCAGTGGCGGATGACGCTAGGGAAAACGTCATTCCTAGAAGACAACCAAGCATGGAATCCGAAACTGAGTTTTCGGCAATGGCCTGCTTTCCGCCACTGTGCTCCAATGAGCAGCCGCTTTATGAAGGAGGAGGGAGAAAAAAAGAGAGAAAGAGGACCGAATTAGTGGATGCTTACAGGTGAGTCAGTGGTATTGGTGAGAGAATACAGAGAAGTCGACTATTGCGGCGAATGACTTCAGTAAATGGCGAAACTGGCGAAATAGTTCCCTTCGATTGCACGATTCAAACAGCTCTGGCTCAACCCTTATGGTGACGTTTGGCAAATTGCCAAGGTTGTGACCTTATAACAGCATAATGTTTGCGTAGGAGCTGCCTGCGTCGTTCTCACAATCCGATCGCTACTCACGAAAACAGGAGCCCAAGGCTTCTGATGACACCTTTTTTCAGTAAAAATGAAGTGCAACACATTTTCCCAACATACTGCATTGAAATCGCTCAAAGCTTCTTTTTTTCGGGATCGATAATGCCATCAGTTTGAAGGGGATAAAACCTTGATCAATGTTGTCATTACACTCACTGAAGCGGGACGATTTCTGGACCTCTATGTCTTGTATGATTTCCGCTTGATGGCGGCTTTTTGGCAAAGAAAATGCCTATGCCCACCACGAACACTGCCATTCCCATCGACAGTATCTGAAATTTGATATAATTGTTAAGCAGAAGAAAAGTCTCATTTTCTTGACAGCTCCATTGTTCAGATGTTCTGATGACGTCCTTCATCCGACAGCAAAACGAGTAGAAAACTCACCGCACAATCTTTCAGAGCGGTCTGGTCGGCATTGTTGCGTCCATCGAAAACGAACAGTAAAACTGCACCGATGAAATTAAAGAAGAACACGAATGCCAAAACAGCAACAAGCTGAACTAGATCACTAGGTCACTGAGGGCCGAAGAATGAACAAGACCAGGAAGAAGACAAAAGAAGATCGTAGAACTGTGTGAAATCGGTGCAGAAACTTCAAAAAGGAGCACCGAGTTAATCTCATGATTTCTTCTATTTGTTGTGCGTAGTTGTCCCCGTAATTGTAGGTCTTGGGCAACCGGCCCTGCGACTGCCATTTTTGTGCAGTGGGGCTCAAGTGCAAATGTGGATGTGCTTGATTACTCAGTAGTGAAGAAAAAGCAAAATAAAACTTCATCAAGAGCGAAACCGGGTGACGGGCAGGAGACACCTGTTGGTTCCTAACATTATTCAGGCATACAGCGCAGGAAGAGAAAGAGACGATGGCTTTTGCGAACCGGTTACCTTGTGCAAGAAAGGGTTTCTGCTCGTTGGGTACCCACGCACCCTTTCTTTGCCCTCACATTCCGCGTTAACCCAAAGGGTGGAATCTCATCGTTGTACAGGTAGTCCCCAATCACAGAGCCTGTGCTTTTCGCGGCTCTACACAATGTCTGCACCGCGAAGGTCATCAGCAGAATAAACGCTATTAGATTAAGGCACTGATCCTATGGAGGGATGCTGCAGTCCGATTCGCTGCGGTTAAAGGGGTGTGTAAGGCGGGATAGATTTGGAGCGGCGCAACCCGTTTTCCACAAGCTGTGAAATCGAGCAAGCGATACGACTGTATCATATCGTTCATATTAGTAGTTTTTCATCAGCATGTTGTCTTCACCCGTTGCCAAACAGTTGGTAGGGAAGCGGTTGCAGCCGCGCCAACCCATCCCGTCAGACACGCCCTTTCACCAGCAGTACCTTCAAATGCAGATATGACGCGTTGCATTCGTTCTGTGCGAGACGCGGCCTTTCCGTTTCGCTGCTCTCGAAGCCCGTCTTCCTGCTATCTCATCCTTTGACTCTGGTCGCGGGGTTCCGCAGCGGATATCTTCCTCTGTGAACACTATGCCAAGGTTGGGAGGCTTACTTAGGGCGGGTTTTACAATTTGACTGTTTTTCTTCACTGACTAGGTTGCGCAGCAGGTGTGACGGTAGTTGATGTAGTTAGATATATTCTTATTGAGGCTAGGTGGCCTGCCTCCGGTGTATGCGTGAGTCGAGACGGGGGTGGTTGGTCTCGCACGTCAGGTAGTAGAAACGCTGAGTTACATCTAGACGTTGCCTCTCAATACAGCAGAAGAGCCGTCACACATCAAGTATCTAACTAATTTACCTATGGCGTCATAATCACATGTCCTCAATGTTTCCCTATGGGTTATACATATCAATCACTCAGTCTTAAAAGGATGCGCACGTAGGTTCTGGTGGTGCAATCCAGAACAAGCCCATCTATGAACTCGATTTTTACTGCACCAGAGGCCCAGGAAATCGTAGTCGCGCAAGGAGTCTTACACAGCGAGTCTGCCATCTTGGAATTAGCATGTGGGGTTGGGAAGAAATTCAGATCTCTGTCACAAGTATATGGCTCAAAAGACGAGCACGTATACGCTGCTCGAACGTCCGCAGAAGAAAAGGCAGTAGTTGTCCTAAAAGATTCCTTTAATCTCGACATACTGCACGATGAAGTGTGAAACATTCTCTCTTGTAGCTATCTTTAGTAGATCCGCTGAGAGTTATGATGTTTTTGTCATGGACCGTTTTCCAAAGCTTGAATTCTCTTGCTGTTTCGTGCAAAGCCCGCCATACAACTCACCCTTAGATGCCTTTTTTAGAAACTCACCACTGTAGATGTCAACTTCTTATTACCATAGTATATTCCTATGCAAACCAAAACACAAAGTGCTGCTACGCTATGAAGGCACAGTGAAACCAAAACCTGCAAAGAATAGTATCGTTATGGTGAAGGGCAGGAGGTCCGTTTTTCGGTGACATACAGGGAAAATTACGACGACATAGCTGCACGATTATACTCCAATTTTCTGAGATGCTGTAGACGAGACTACGCTTACTCCACTCTGGCGGCGTTGGGCTCTTCACGGGATACTTTCATTTTGGGACCATTGTAGCCACGCCTTTTTCCAATACAAGACAAGGTGTCTGTTTTCCCATTTGGAAAATCGTACGAATCATCACCCTATGCCATGTTAAGATGAAGTACACGGCCTCGCCTACCGCGCCTCAGTGATGTGAAGCGCACTCATCTTCACTGTGTTACATGCGCTGGAAGGCTTGCGACATGTAGCACCGCTTCCATAACGCCTCAATAAATCGGACCACTTGACTATTATCCGTGGACTCAACTGTAATGACTAGGTACTCAGCTAGGACCTTAAAAACTCCCAAGGACTCGATTACTAATTGAAGCACGCAAAAGAAAGTCATGTGGGTCAACTGAATTTTGATTCGTTATTTCTATATTCCCATGTTATTCCACTCCATCTGAAACAGTAATAGCTGCTGTTCAGGTCGCGCAGCAGTCACACCTTTTTTTATTCAACTTTTGGAGCACCTGATACACTCCTTATCCCTTACACGGAGTAGGCGTGGCATTCAAACATGGCATAGAATGGGTAACTCGTGAAATATTTCAGTTTGGGACGCTTATCATATTCATCAGTGTTGGGCAGAGACATGACCACAATTGTGTCAAAATGAAAATGTCTCTCCAAAACCACAAGCCATGGACCACATTTATGGTAGTTGTAAGCACGCACCACGCCTGACTCATTCCACTGATTTCGTAGATAATTGCGTGCTTGGTTGGTTGCTGCGTTCTATGGAAAAAAAGCAGATATCGCATTACTTTGAATTGTGTTTCAAAATGTTTTCCATCCTGCACTGATCTGCCTTGTTTGCCAAAATGGAATCCTTTCATTCCAGTCATTAGGAGAAAGAAACTCATATTCACGTAGGACGCCTGAACACGAGCTATTCAGAAAAGAATAGAGCTATGAGAGAAAAGAAGCCCTAAGGCTATTGCTATTAGGATTTTCCAGTGTCTCCTCCTTCATTGGTGGGTGGGTGACAGTGGGTGCTTCGCTTGTTCCGTACTCTCTCGCAAAGTTGCAAAGCGCGAAACAAATGGAACGCTACTATAGGATTTTCCGGCAGTTTGGGGCATTCAGTGTTTCTACGCCCTCGGATATCTCAGCTCTGCCTAGGAGGATGGAGCTACTTTCGCGGCTTAAAAATACGAGAGGATAGCACCGCCCACTCGTTGAGAGGTTGCCGCCCTCCCATCTGGGGCGGCCACAGCAGCCAACGTTCACTTCCAGTGCTTGCCTGATGAGAACTAACTACTGATGAGAGCACAAGAACTTGTGCAACCACACCTCTTCGCCTTATGCACGTACAAAGGCGGTTCAGCATAGAGGCATTTCTGGTCAGTTATTAGTGTTTTTTCTTCACTGCTAGACTATTTGCTACCTTGTTCTCACCCCGCACATTCATCATTTTTGAACGTGGGCTCAGCCTTTAACACACGTCCGTCGGTTTTTTTTTCGAAAGAACACTGTCAACGAGAGCGCTAACCGGAGTCAGCTTTGTGTGGCCGTTTACACCTGCACCTATCATGTAAATGTGGAACACTCTGCTCGACACAGCCCCCTTTTTCCAAGTGTAACCTCTGTTATGCTTGGAAAGGGGGAAAGGGTTGTTGTGCATTGCACATGTTTCATAGTGATCTGGAGGCCGCACGACCCTCCCCAATCTCAACTCTCACTCCCACTCCTCCCCACTCCGACGAAGCCAGGCGGTAGGAAGAAGGACGCCGCTGCTCTCGCGTATTACTATAAACAAGTGGAATGCGGAATCCTCGTCTCCAAATGTGGCCAAACATGTCTTGGTGAACACGACAAATATAAGGAGGACGCACTAAGTCAGTAAAGGTCCGGAGGGAAGATAGGTTCAGGCATAAGTACATACTCCAGTGTGGAAAAGCTACATGTCAAGAAAAACCGATTTCCGATTTTCTTGCTCCCAACACATCATCATTGAATAAAGCCCTTCCCTCCTCCACTTCCCCTTCTATCAGCTCCCCACGTAAAGGATAAAGGATAAAGTCTGCGCCGTTGATCAATCCCTTTGCGGGATGTGGTACGCATTCTACCCAGATACAGAATCGTAGTGAAATGAATCCACCTGAGCATGTGATACTTATGGTTAATAATGTAATCCCTAGCTCAATACTGTAATACTTAGCTTTGCATTAAAGTCGATACCCATCATCAGTGCCCTTATCACTGAACATTTATGATTTGGTAGTGTAGAATCTACCGCGTTTACTTCGCAATGCCCCTTATCAGTCCTATCAGTTGCTATTACCTTCTCCAGAAAAGCAAGTAGGTTGAGGAGGTAGATGATAGGGACACTTACCATCTATCTCCTCATCTGTCCCTCTATATCATTTGCTTGAAGCAACACCCGCCGCTATGATGGTCGCAGTGACATCGGTGACAATCGCTTTGTACTGCCATTTAGCAGCTCTTAGCGGTTTCCGTACCTACCAACGATGTTTTTGTCCATTCTTCTATAGCAGTTCGCTGCGAACGAGGGGGCGTGTCAGGCGGGATGGGTTTGACGCGGTGTCAAACCTGTTGTCCACCGGTTGTTGAAGCGAGCAAGTGACAAGGTGACATCATTTCGTTCGTATCACTCGTTTTCTACCAATTGTTTTTGTGTTCATACAGCTTCAACAACTGGCATGTTGTGCATCGTGGCACACTCATAGTGCCTGACACGCCCCTTTTTCTGTAGCGAACTAGAGTATATATCGCAAGTTCATACAAGTCTGCTTCACTGTACTGACACGCGCTATGAACTGAGTGAGCGTCCCTTTTCAACGCCTCTTATCAGATATTATTAGCTGCACTCACTTCCTGCTCACCCTACTCTTCCCACTAGTGTTCCTGTCCTCAATATCGCTTGTTTGATCACTGTCACATTGTTCTTGCGATGCGGTGAATTTCGTGGAAAATGCACGTACATGAGCACAGACTGCAGTGCTTATAGAGTCGGATGAAGGCGTCCCTATACGTCCATACATTGGCGCGACGCCGCCCGCCTATTTCCATTAACCACCACCTGCATGGTGGCAACGACTGGTGGGAACGAGCTGAAGCTGCGCCATAACCTGTGCTCATGAAGGAACGTCTCCACCTGCTGATTGGCAATATATTCAGCGCATATTATAAAGCAGGTTTGCTAGTGATGTTCCAAAACGGAGAATGCATACCAAAACAGCGAGTGCTGGGTCAGAAGAAAAACAACTGAAACACTCACGAATAAGATGAAGAGAAGATGGGAATGGAGTGCTATACACGCCATGTTGCAATAAAATGAGGAACACCGTGATTCAATCCGAGATTGAAGTAATCATTCGGTTGCTCTTACTACAGCTGAAGGCAATGTTACCTTCTCTGTTGTCTTTGTTGACGGCATTACCGGTAACCCCTACTTGTACCTTTTTTCTCTCTCTTCTTTCTCTCTCACCTTATTGGCAACTCTTTACCTTTTTTGTAAATCTGTCATCTTTTCTTACGACCGTGCACTGCTTTTTACAAAATTCGCGTCTGCCCTTCCAGTTTTTTTTTCTCACTCATATACCTTTACCCGTTTCCTACTCCAGATATCTTCGAAATGCCGATTCCCACCTGTTTGATGTAAGTTAGTGCTCGGCCGAGGAGGTGTAGCGATTCTTGACCTTCCAAAGGGTTGTAGCTTATAAAGCTGGACAATCACGTCGCGCGCATGGGGATCTGCTCAGGGGTGCGTAGTTGGCCGAGTGGGATGGGGAGAACGGGAGCGGTCGGCTTTTTTCAGGAAAATCTATAGAGATTCATTGACACCGCGTTCCGTTCTCTTTCCAGAGCGCCCATATCCACCCTTCAACACATTGCGATAGGTGCACGGGGGAAGGAGGTGCCGGTCCGTGTCAAGAAAAGGAAACAGCGAGGAAAGGTCGGTACTAGCGGTAAAATTTTTTACAACGGCAGGACGATGCCCTTGAAACAGCGCCCACGCTTCATCTTGATGTTCCGCGCCCCTCTTCTGGATATCATGCTCTCATAAGGACGCGACCGCAGTATGTTACCTAGTTTTGCCCATCTCAAAAAGGCGACGAGAGGAGATAGCGCCGTTCCGCTAGTGGAAGGGGGATCGACCTCATAAGGTTTTACATCGGCATTTTCCATCATTTTTTTTTCTGCTTTTTTCTTCACTACAAGATAATTTATATGAGCTCCATAACTTGCTATTCTTGAAAGCAGCCTCAGCCTTCAAAGGCTAAGCCAAAGCAGTTATGGCAGCCAGATGGGCGAGCGGCATTCTCTTGACAAGCGGGTGGCCCCTTCCTCTCGTACTTTTGAGCTGCGAAATTAGCATATCCTCCACCCTTGTCGACAAAGCTACGATATCTAAGGAGGCCGTTGGAACATCAAATGAACGCGGGTGCTGCCTTTAAGCTAGACTGCACTTTTGAATGATATTAGTGCATACATGTATGCTGTGAACCTGTACACCTCGCAGGCAGTAACACATTGTGCCTTTGAGACTTGCCCTTCGGGTAAGTGTTGAAGAGGGTGGAAAGGGCATCATGTGGAACATCCACCTTTGTGAGCGAGGAAGGAAAGTCCGCACACACGGACGGGCGCATAAAATCATCATCTGCAACGCACTCCATTCGGGGCACGCCATCGCGCTGTGATCATTCCCTGAAAATACGACCCCCCTGGTTCCATCCTCAAATACCACCCCCTCCTCATGGTACCTACCGCTTTCCTAGATTTTCTCAACTTCCTACCACTTTAGCAGGTTCCCGAAAAATTTAGTTCCTCAGCCAACAATTTTCCGTTGAGTGGAGGGGGGGAGGGTGGTCGTCAGGATTTGACTATCATTTTCAACTGTCGGAAACAATAGGTGTACAACTAGTTGTACAGATCTTTGGCAGGCTCTCTCCCAACAACAACCAAATACGAACCTCCCTTTGTAGCGTCCGTGAAACAATAGAAATCAACTACTAAAAAATTTCTTTCGCTGACCAAATACGACCCCCCGTTGTGACCATCACAACGATGGAGTGCCCTGACTCCATTAGACTGGTGAAGATGCCTTGCATTGCTGTTGTAGTGAACTAGTGTTATCACCATTCATCCTGTGATAAACCAGTGGAGAATTACGGTAGGAGGCCAAAGTCGTCTTCGTAGTGTTCTATTAGACCTCAGAGATCAACAGATAGAGGGGAAGTTGCGACCCTCACACTTTCTCAGCCTTAATATTGAATGAAACACCGACCTATGCAACCTGTCGAAGGTGAATACCTAGAAATGTTCGGAGTTTGTTTGACACCTTCTTTGCACTTAAGGGACTTGATGGTATTACTAGGTGCGAGCGAAAGCGGTGTTCCGTCACGCTCGCATCACTCGCACCAGAGCTTACGAGCCTACTAGTGGGAATATGGTTGCTAGAGATTCCTCGTTGCGTACACATTCGTCCATCTGCCACCCACGCGTGTTTTATTACATTCACGCCGCCAAACTTCAGAGGAAAAGCCCGCGATCATTCAGCATCACAGAAAGAGAGAGTTAGTGCTTTGCATACAGACGACAAGGTGCTGAACTCGATAGTGGAGGAAAAGCAGAGAAAAACATAGCTAACTGCCTCATATG